CACAACGTAAAAATAATCGCATATATAATAACAGACCTCAGTAAAACTAAAACTATTACATTTCTTAAGGAAAATTGTTTTAATAGAAAAATAAAAGCAAAAAGGTTATGCCAAACATATATAACAATGTAAAAAATAGAAGTTCAAGTTCGAGGTTATGTTCATTGGGCAGTAAACATGTACTAGAAGCTAAAAACACAACAAAACCAGCTTATGCATATTTCTGTTTGTATTTTATATAAACAGTAAAAACAGCTGATTTCAAAAATAGAAATAAATTGTAAACAAGTATTAGTGGGCCTTGGAGTGGAAATGGAAAAATTTATTGAGAGCGAGTAAAAGTAAATTTAGAACAAGGGGAAATCAGCTGAAAGAATTAATTTATTTGATATCAGTTGTTACCGAACACAGACAGTTTTGTAATAGTGGGGAGGCGAATGGCCAAAATTCCAAAGTTGGCTCACCCCGAAAGGTAACCGGTGAACACTATGCTAGATGATATTGTATAGTAGTAGAGATGATATTTTGACCGGTGTTCACTCTGTATGAGTGGGACTCTCTTATCTGGACGCCATTTTCCAAAATGGCGGATGTCAACGATTGATCTTTGAATAACTCGAGCAAAAATGATCCGATTTTGATGAAATTCGGTATAAACGTTTAAACTTACATTTATTCTAATGAGATCGAAAACCAGCGTGATCGGACAATGGGAGAGGGGGTTTATGGGGGGTTTTATGGGGTAAAAATGGGATTTTCTTATTTTTTGCCCCCAAAGCACAACATTTTCCAATTTCTCTCTAAACCATTTTAAAGAACTTAAAAAAAGAAATAATTTAGTATATTAACGTTTTTTGTACCCTTATTGGCTACGGAGAAAATAAAAAAAGTGTTATTTAAAATTCCCATGTTATTCTTATGGAGGATATTGTCAACTCTTGTAGTTTGCTTGTTTATGGATATATTTTGATCAAACTTGGTAAACTTATTTATTTATACTAAACTATTAATATTAATATTCTACCAACATTCACACTTTATTAGCCTCCATGTAGCAGCAAACCTAGGTACTCGTTAAACCTAATTTTATTTAAATTGAATTAATTTAAATACAAATCAGGCAAATGGAAATTTGCTTAGTCTGCAGGTTCGCTGTGACGGGGGTATTTTATTCTTGACATTTTTTCCTAACCCTAGTGGGTCAGGAGATATAGGCATTTAAAGTTGGGGTTTCATCCATGATAAATACATTGATCCGTTTTAACTGTCACTCTTATGTATTTTCTGTGCTATTCCGTTGCATTTCTTAAGAAGTGCAAAAACTTTTGAATCGGCATATAATAACAAAGCTAGATTATCAGGCACATCTCAGATTCGCACGATGCGTTAAAATATTAAAAGTATCGTTTTATTTTAGTTTTTTTCTCCATGAATTGTATTTTGGCGGCCATTTTGTGGGATCAAATCAAATTTTAAGTTGCAGATTTAGTTTCCCCACCCTTAAACATTAAAAACGATATACTACACACTATATCTAGCAAAAATTTTTTTAACTACTTTTCTCTGGGAGCGATTATTATTTTAATTTAAATACCATAATATCAGGTACTTTACCTAGTCGGATTTTGGTAGACTTTTTTTGTTGTTGTGTGGAGGTATAAAAGTAATGAAATCCGTCGACAAACCTTTAGAAACAATTTTTTTGAACCTCCACTATATATTTCTCTTTAATTACCGGACTATTATCACTTCACAGACTTTTCATGCCGTAGTTTATGTTTATCAATATTGCTCTTAATGCAAAAACTGGCATAGCAACTTGTTTTATGCCATTTCGGATCTTTTAGCTCTAGTATTTCTATGTCCTCCTACGTATTCCTGATATTATGGTATTTAAATTAAAATAATAATCGCTCCCAGAGAAAAATAGTTAAAAACATGTTTGCTAGATATAGTGTGTAGTATATCGTTTTTAATGTTTAAAAGGGTGGGGAAACTGAATCTGCAACTTAAAATTTGATTTGATCCCACAAAATGTCCGCCAAAATACAATTCATGGAGAAAAAAACTAAAATAAAGCGATACTTTTAATATTTTAACGCATCGTGCGAATCTGAGATGTGCCTGATAATCTAGCTTTGTTATTATATGCCGATTCAAAAGTGTTTGCACTTCTTAAGAAATGCAACGGAATAGCACAGAAAATACATTAGGGTGACAGTTAAAACGGATCAATGTATTTATCATGGAGGAAACCCCAACTTTAACTGCTTATATCTCCTGAACCCCTAGTGTTAGGAAGAAATGTCAAGAATAAAATACCCCCGTCACAGCGAACCTGCAGACTAAGTAAATTTCCATTTGCCTGATTGGTATTTAAATTAATTCAATTTAAATAAAATTAGGTTTAACGAGTACCTAGGTTTGCTGCTACATGGAGGCTAATAAAGTGTGAATGTTGGTAGAATATTAATATTAATAGTTTAGTATAAATAAATAAGTTTACCAAGTTTGATCAAAATATATCCATAAACAAGCAAACTACAAGAGTTGACAATATCCTCCATAAGAATAAAATGGGAATTTTAAATAACACTTTTTTTTATTTTCTCCGTAACCAATAAGGGTACAAAAAACGTTAATATACTAAATTATTTCTTTTTTTAAGTTCTTTAAAATGGTTTAGAGAGAAATTGGAAAATGTTGTGCTTTGGGGGCAAAAAATAAGAAAATCCCAATTTTACCCCATAAAACCCCCATAAACCCCCGCTCCCATGGTCCGATCATGCTGGTTCTCGAACTCATTCAAATAAATGTAAGTTTAAACGTTTATACCAAATTTCATCAAAATCGGATCATTTTTGCTCGAGTTATTCAAAGATCAAACGTTGACATCCGCCATTTTGGAAAATGGCGTCCAGAAAAGAGAGTCCCACTCATACAGAGTGAACACCGGTCAAAATATCATCTCTACTACTATACAATATCATCTAGCATAGTGTTCACCGGTTACCTTTCGGGGTGAGCCAACTTTGTCATTTGACATATTTTACTACATTTGCCTCCCCACTATAAGGAGTGATGAAAAGTTTTTGTAAGGAGTTATGAAAATATATTTTTTTTATATTAACACTACATAAAAGCAACTAACTCACTTGCTTTGGTTTCAAAGTAAAAATTTACAGAACACACCTTGTAGCTACAACAAATGAATGTATTATTGGAGAAATCCTAGTAAACAGCTCCATAAACAGTTTCAACACGTAGTAGAAAGGTAGACAACTAGGTAGCAGAAATACAAACAGACGTCCTGTACAAAGACTTGTCAAATTATAAAGTCAGATGGAGACAGCCTCTGGACATACATGAATGGATAGCTGGCAATAGAATACCAACACCGTGGATAAACTGCGTATTGTTAAGTTTTCACTGAAAATAGAGTAATTTGTTTTTAAAAGATATTTACCAGAAGTGATTATTTTATAATAACAATAAGCGACATATTGCCTTAGGGAATCATTTGTAATACAAATTAAAATTTTCTAAACATTACAAAAACATTACATTACATTAATTACATAAAACATTACATTACATTAATAAAAGTATTATTAGTTTATGTAGTAAATCAGACAGGGATCACACATAAAACATTATAGTTACAATCATTATTTTTTTCCTACCACTACAAGGAAACTGCATTTCCCTGGCTGTAAACAGTACGCAAAATAGTTCATTGCCACTCTAGAGCAGGAATGAATTATTCCCACTCGCTAAATCAGCTGATTTCAAAGTTGTCGTTTCTAAACCAACCACAGCCGCGGATTCGGTACGTTAACAACCGATAAGCAATAACATAACCTTAAAAAAGCAAACATAATCCAAATAACATTTTATATACATCTAAGTTAATCTGTGTGTTGTTATGTCAATTATGGTGGTAGGAAAATCTTGTGTGACGAGCACAAACGGTCATTACTGCTCTCGAATGTATGGTCACATGAAGCTTTACAAATAGCTATTGACATATAATTCACACATGGTCAAACAAACCAAATAAACCAAACCCAAGACATTGCTGATAGCAGCAAATTTTTAAAACATAATATTATCTACGTTCACATTTTGCATTGTAAAATCATTTGTCACACCAATTTATTCCTATCATTTTCTACAATGAGATTACACATTTAATACAAATAAATTATACATTTAAAATTATGCCAATCAATTTCTCAACTTGACAGCAATACAACAGTGACAAGTTTCAGCTAATTTATGCTGGAACTTCAAGCCGAGTGGCAGGACAATGTGCAATATGCTGATTGCTCCAAAGTACGACTCTACGTTTTCATTCATCAAGTTATTTATGAGGTGTGACATTTTTCAAACAGACATGAAAATTTATATTGTTGTTTACCAAGAATGCAAACAAACAAATTTCAATTGGTTAAAGAATTGTTTTATTTTATTTATCACCCTTTTATCATATTTTATGACACTAATGATTGCCTGAAACGTTTGCAAAATATTACCTTATTTTTAACTAAGAAAATATAAACTTAATTAGATTTTATGCCCTATTTTTGGTTACTGAGATGGTGAAAAGGGCATAAAAGATAGATTACAATATGTTGTCCTATGAGTTTGACTTTGTTAAAAAATTCCGCATATTCGACAGAAATCAGTAGAAAACAGCAGAAACCAGCGCAATCTGTTGGTGGGTCGCTTCAACTACGTCCATTTTGATTTAAAACTGGCAACAACTTTAACATGGGGTTTGATTGCATAGTTTTAGCAATAGTCAAAGCTTATATTACAATGCGTAGTTAATTGATACCCCAATGACAAATATCATCTAGGTCAATAATCCATCCACTCCGAACCAAACCAGCAACCCTCATATTTTAAGGTGAACACTAAAACCACTTGGTTTCCCAGACATACTTCTTATTGGCATGCGTACAATATGAACTTAAAATAAATGAAAATTCACTTACATAGCTGAGCATGGGAATGTTGCGAGATTGGGAGACGATGGCTTCGACGTAGCACGAGCCCTCGGGGCCGAAAAACGCGTAGATACCCTCGCAGATCATCTCGGTGATGAGGCGTGTGCTGATCACCGTGTCACCGCGCATGTCTTGCCATTTGAGTACCAGAGTCACGTTGGGCAGCAGCGACGGGTCGGAGTTCACCTGTTAACAGACAACATCATGAAGACTACTGTCTACACTTGCAGGAGCTGGTGGTAGAGCTCGGGGCTTCAGAGACCAAGGTCCCAGGTTCAAATCTCACCAAGCAGAAATGGATTTCATACATGTAATAATACCGCGACCTTTTAGGACTAGCTTGAAGTTATGTGTAAAAAAGTTCTGGGCTAGAATGTCTAAGGATGTAAAGGTGGGATGTAAAAAAAAATATAATAAACAATAAAAATGAAACACTTGTTACCAGACACCCTGTACATGACATAACAAATTAGAATAGACATTACCAAACTTCTATTTTAGGTTAAATTTTAATCAGTCTTTGCTCTTGATCCCTGAACTCTGACACGAAAAACTGTGCATTTATGGAAAGTGATAGAATATTCCCTATCAGTTTCCTTTGTTTGCTTTCAATTTTACAAGTAAGAGAAAATTACAGAATTGTTTACGATGATTGTTGTTGAAGATAAGAAAACATAGTCAAGTGTTAGTTAGTTAACAGCAAACAGATGATATTAAAAAGACAAATTATATTACCAATTTTTTTAACCATTCAGTTTTAGTACCTACAGTCTTACATGATCAGTTAATACCCCTGCCGCAGCAAACCTGCAGACTTAGCGAATTTCCATTTGCCTGATTGGATTTAAACTAAAATGTCTCCTTAAAAATATCACATTTATTCCCTATTTAAACAGAATTAGTTTAATGAGTACTTAGGTTTGCTGCAACAGGGAGGGTAAAAAAGTTTTTTTTATGTATAATATTAAAAGGTACTGTGGTTTAGTAAGAAATTAATGTATTTTCCAACTATTATCAAAATATGTTCATAAACAAGCAAACTACAACAGTTGACTTATTGTCCATAAGAATAACATGGGAATTTTAAAATTAAAATTTTTTTGAATTTTCTCCGTAACAATTAGGCGCATAATAATGCTTCAATATACTAAATTATTTGTTTTTTTAAGCTCTACAAAATGGTTTAAAAAGAAATTGTGAAATTTTGTGTTTTTAGGGTCAAAAATGGGAAAAACCTATTTTTACCCCATAAAACCCCCCATAAACCCCCGTTCCCATAGTCCGATCATGCTGGTTCGCGAACTCATTCAAGTTTATCCCGCCTTACACCTTCAAACCAAATTTTATCAAAATCGGACAAAAATTACTCAAGTTATCGTGCGGATGGACACACATATATATATATATATATATATATACTAGCTGTAACCCACGGGCTTTGCCCCGTTTAACTTCTTAATTTTCAAGATTATCTCGTTCGCATGGCTCAATCACGTCCTTGTTGAAGTTTGTTCGCTACGCTCACTCACCTTTAGGTTGGAGCTCGTTCGCTACGCTCACTCACCTTTAGGTTGGAGCTCGTTCGCTGCGCTCACTTGCCTTCAGTTTAACTCGTTCGCTTCGCTAACTCGCCTCCAGGTTGAAGTTCGTTCGCTACGCTCACTCACCTTTTGGTTGCAAATTAGCTGTTGTCATAAATGTAAAAGAAATAATAGTGCTGCACCCTGTTGGTAATCCTTGTAACTTTAATGCTATTGAACATCATAGAACAGAACCAACTTGTTTAATTGAAACAGCTGTTAAGATTCAATAATTCCATTTCTCATTAGGTTAACATGGGAAACTCCAGAGCCACTGGGGCGGAGCCCGAAAGGATTTTTGAAATAAGAATATGCCTATATGTTAATCGGGAATGTCAGCTATCATCATGCCAAATTTCAGCCCAATCCGACCAGTATTTTTCGCGTTCACTTGTCACAAACATACATCCATACATCCATATATCCATACATCCAAACTTTCTCATTTATAATAGGTCTTACCATGAGACCTACGGTAATAGCTACTTCCCTATAGGGAAATTCGCTAAAATGATGTTTTTTGTTTATAAATGTAATAGTTTAATTTAAATACTTAATTCAATTAATCATTAATAACACACCTATCAACATAGCAAAGAGAGGAGGGCCAAGAACAGAATCTGGGAGACTCCATAGTCGATTTGGTTAACTAATAGTAACTTCCCAGATAATTTTACATTTAGTTCTAAAACTAAAACTTCTTAACAAAAAATATATTCAGGATAAAAAGTTAGTTTGTGGTCTTTTTAGTTCCTTGATAAAGCAAAAGATACATAACAATGATTGACAAATATTCACATGAATACTTTTAGGTCAAATTATCCCAACATTTTTCAGTTTCTGAAATTAGGGGATTGTGAATCTTATTTGATTTAAAATTTATCTAGTGGAAGAAAAAATAATTAAGGTGTAATATGTCATATAATGTAGCTTAACACCTACATGGAATTTTGACATCTTTTTGTAAGACAGTTTGAACTGTGATTTTGTTATAATTTAAGGTTGACCCTTTTTGAAAATCATCAATAACTTTGTGGCCTCCTGACAATTGACAACACTAGGTCCTGAATAATTTTTCCCAAAGATGGAACTGGCAACCTCCCCATTTGTTAAAAAAATATGTGGAACCCAATACCTACAATTAACCTCTCGACTTGAAAATTTAAGAACATATCACACCCCAACCGAGCATTTAACATTTCATCAGACAAGATAATGATGGACTTCCAATAGCGTTGGTGCCAAAACATCAAGCAGTGAAACTGGCATCTTTCAAGGTCAGATAACCTTTTGACCTGAAGATAAATGATAAACCATAGTCTAGATGGTCTTGAACAAGCGTGGCGACTATGTGGGCTTCTGTTTAATGTGTCCACAACCAATTGGAAGATACTTCCGACTTTGATACCGACTTTCAAAATTGATTTTAATAGGCCATAAAGGGGCAATAATTTGATACAGTTTTCAATGATCAAGATCAAAGTCAAATTTAATGTTCAGGTCAGACTCAGATATGGGGGAAAGTGGGCCTTCTTCTGGCCTTATGAGATACGGCAAATAGTGGAAAAAAAACATTTTTCATTCTAAACACAATTAAAAATTTATTTTACATAGTCCCGTATCCCAAATATTATAAGTATTCTAACCTATTTGATTGTAATAACATAGACTAAGCAACACAAGTTAGTAGACTTCTCATCTCATTGTAAATTTTGAAGCTTTTTTTTTGTGTCTAGTTCATGTCCACACTGGGCGCTAGTGTGAACAAAATTTTGTTTATATTATTTGAGGGTCAATTTCATGACCTGTGCTTGACTTTTTGGTTATATAACTAGGGGACGAGCTAGTGTTTATGATTAGATCCTATTATTTGGTTAAACAAGGTTTTAAATGAATAACAATAAATAAAAAAAATCAAATTTAAACAAAACACAACCTCTGCAGTACACTGTACAGAACTAACAATAAAATTGACTTCAGCTGTTCCATAAGGATGAGAAATCTACTAAGGGAGTATGTTTTATCTATCGTAATAATCAATTAACCTTTTTGTCAAAAACGTACAAAAAAAATCTATTCACTACATCAGTTTTTTAATACTAAATTTCTTTTAGGCCTATATACTTTAAAGATACAGTATGAAGACCAATCAGTTTCCAAAGATACAACAACCTCCCCGCTTGTCCCTTTGAAATAAATTCAAGAACAGATTAAATTATTATTCTTGTTTATAAGAGTTTCTATTGACATCCTAATCTAATACAAGTACGCATGACCAAAGAAACTGCTGTAAGTTTGATGATAAGATGTTCACTTATAACAAAATGTTAGGGACCACTAACTTCAAGGATTTTTTGAAGATTTCTGAAATTCTTTTTCCTTTGGCGAAGAAAATTGTCTATTAATACACAGTCATTTACCCACCAGAAAAATAATAGAAAAAAAATAAGTTAAGCTATTTTGTTTTATCTAGAAGCTTTTAATCCATCACAACTAATTTTTCATGTAAGAAAACGGACAAACTGAATGTCCAATCGATTACTCTCTAGTGCTTTCTGCAATCAACTGTTTTATTTTTCTTCTCACCAAAATCCAATGATTAATTTTTGTCCATCCACCCCAATTTGTTACATGGAATATTTTTAAATGTTAATCCACTCCAGATAGGTTTCTTTCCAATAGTTTCACTTGAAGTGCTACATCATAGTCTCCTCTAATACAAGGCCGTGGTATTAGTGTGTGGTAACGTCGCACCGGTATGCCCATTGCCATGGTAATATGTAATAAAAAAGATAAACATAAACATTGTGCGTACGCTCCGTTATAAATTAGTGCAACAGCTGTTTTGGTTTGCTGGGACAACAGCCTTGTATTATAGGAGGCTATGTCTACATGTTGTATTTTCAACTGCTACTTCACACTCAGCTACACTGATATCCTCACCTTGTCCACAGCCATCTGTATGGCGCCGGAGACTAGGAGGCCCTGTCGGTCGCGCAAGTCACCTCTGATCGCCGTCAGGTAGCCAATGGTTAGGTTCTTGTTGATGTGTGGCGGGGGCGTCGGTGGCGCGACTGTGGTCGATGCGGCGGTGGTAGAGGGTGCGACTGCGAGTGTGACTGTCGTGTGCGACGCCACACACGCGGAGGTCAACAACAGCAAGTGGACGAAGAGTGTTAGAGGCCCGGCCTGCATGGCCAGCCGGCCGTCCCCTCCACCTCACCTGAACAAGCAAAGAAACGTTTGTTAGAAACTTTGCGGAACTACAATTACAATATTACAGTAGTTGGTGAGTCAGTCAGTGGCATCACGGACTTCGGGCTCAAGACAGTGATGTCTTGAGATAGAATCTTTGGTACCTGCCACAAGCTTTTATAAGTTAAGTTCAAGCTTGTACTATACCAGCTCACTTTACTGGATACGTTCTTGCACAGGGTTCTGTGGCTCATATAGACTTAAATGCAAAGTAAAAGAGGCTGCCAACCTCTCAAAGAAAACTAATTTTAATAAAAATCAACAATCAATGCTTGAGACAGCGACTCACACATGGGTGTGAATTTTAAGCTGAATATAAATGCAAGGTAGAATGGAGTGAGATGGCCTGAGTTGCTTTGTAACTGACTAAGATCAGCTGTTTCATTAGTCAGGATCATTTATTTGCCTAACGATCAAGGACAGTTGGGCTCAGTTTCGAACAATCAAAAAGCTACTGACTTACTCAGCTATAAAACTGGGAAGAAGGTTTTTAAGCTGACGGTTTTGGGATTACATGCAAGTATAGTTAACACCTTCCCGGGAGGACACACAACACCGAATAAACAGCTCAACAGATGGGGGCATACAAGAGCCTATAGTTCACAATTAGTAGTTGCCCTTTCAATTTGGTTGGTGAAAAAATACAAATACAACAATGAGAAGGCTACTTTACGGCAGAACCTTCTGTAGGTGTCTCCATTGAATAGGCTATTTTATCTAAATCTGGCTACAATTTATACAACTTAATGGAATTTCAACTTCACAATAATCTTTAGTCAAATATTCTAAACTGACCATACTTTTCTATTTTCGAAACTGGGTTAGTTATATCCAAAACTATTCTTTTTTAAGAGATTGGCTGCCTCTTTTAACCTTTCATTTACTCACCCACATACACAACCGATCTGTGCGTGGGACAAGTCCAGCAAAGCAAGGGGTGAGCTGGTACACGACAAGGGTAACCTGTACTGATACAAAGTAGTTACGGGTACAGTATACTCCCTCTTATCCGGACACCTTTAAACCGGACATCAGTTTAACCGGACTAAACTCAGCGGAAATGACATCTCTTTAACCAGACAATTTGTATCAGCACATTGGTTTAACCGGACTAAATCGGCAGGAAGTGAACGGTACTGAAACGACTGTTCTCGTAGGAAAGATTTGAGACCAGTGATCACGTGTCTAAATACAATGCTCTCCTAAATTTAAGTCGAATATCACAGTAAACGGTCCGTTTTAACGAGTTTTTGGGGACGTCGTTTTAACCGAAAAAACCATTATCCAGACTGGCCTCGGTCCCGAGGAGTCCGGATAAGAGGGAGTCTACTGTACTAGAATTCGAACCCACCACATCGCTACCTTGGGCCCGAAGTCTATTGCGCTACCGACTTATCCACTGAATCACCAAACAACATTAATTAGAAAACAATACTTTAAAATCATATTTACTACAAATTTTGATATACCGTACTGAGAGTGAAAGTACACGCTCCGTGGACCATGGCCAAGTTGTTCTCAATACAGTGGATGTTGCACAGATAGTTTTATGCCTTTGGTTCTGGCACACGGCTTGGCCACACGCCACCAGGAAGATACGTTTTGTTGCTATTTCCGTAGATCCAGCCATGTCACTTGTCTGCTGTTAGTTGGGATTAATAACCTCAACTTTTCAACAGGCTATTATAAATACTGAGTTGAAATCAGAATTCATTAGTAATGTAAGATTGATAGTCACTTGGTGACTACTAAGTGTAATTTTCTGCACTCTAGACTCACATTCTATTGGGATTGTGTTGCATAAATGTTTAAATGTTTACATGTTGTCTTTCCCTGCCATTTTATTTGTGTGTTCAACGATGTACTTTTTTCTTAAGTGACAGTCTTTGGCGGAGTGTGACTATAGGGATATTCATACAGCTTGAGGGATTAATTGTTAAATTCCATGTAAAAGATTACCAACTACCACGCAGGTATTCACACAATTTCAATTATATTGTTAGTCAACAAGGTAAATTATTTAACCACGACAAAATTTTTGAATGTGAGACTCTATTTTCATGCGATCTGGAAGCAAATTAAACAAGTGGAATGGCAATACAGTGAATTTAATAACTAATTAAAAAAAATAACTGTTTTGCTTTGATTACCATTAAAATCAAAATATTTTTGTATACCACCTCTGGAATTAGATAAGGCCTCGTTTTAATGAACTATATTGAATTATTATCAACCACTGATACATAAAATCATCGTTAGGCCTTAAAAACTTGTGCGAGGCATATAAAAACACCTTCAAAATAAATTGTATGGTTACTTATGCTCCAGCAGTTAGGGGTTTTGTGGCAAATATCCCCGCAGGTTAATATGTTATAAAAGTGATGGAATAGTTATTTTGTTTCCCTAATTGAAAAACTTTAAATATCACCGTAAAACCTAATGTACTCTACAAATGTTTAGTCATCGCTAGCTTACTGGGAGCGTATCATTAATAAAATATTTAACTTTTTTGTATCCCTGCCAATAGCCAACAAGTTTTACACAAAAATTGGTATACAAACTATTTAAATTCTTAAGCATCATGGGGGTATCAAGAGAAACAAAACCATCCAGAAAGTTTAGATAAAAATCACTATAAGATTTTATGTTGGGACAATATGAATGGTCAAAAAGGCCAAGATTCTGGAAGAAGCTGGAAATAGCTGTGGTGACACAGTACCGATTGCAATTAAGAACGTTACAGCAATTAGACCAACTAGTGCTACAATTAGAAGGACCTCAGTCACAGTGTGGCCAACATAACAGCAAACAAAACAGTGTCACCAACACACAACAGTGCGTCGAAAAAACACATGTAGTGTTGTAGTCAACATAACACAAATAGTGTGACCAACAAAATGACCTGAATCCAGGACCGATTCACTTATTCGTTTTGATGTCCCCAGAGGCCAAAATCATTATTCGATCAAATTCATACATTTTTTATATCGTGTCCGTTAGCATAGTACTGTAATTTGAGAAAAAATAATCAGATTTTAATGAAATTTGGTACAAATGCGAAACTCAACAATTATTCAACCGATTTTGCGAACCATGGTGATCATACTATGGGAATTCGGTTTTATGGGGTAAAAATGATTTTTTCCATATTTGACACTTCTTTTTAATATTTTCCAACTTCTCTTTAAACCATTTTGAAAATCTAAGAAAACAAAATAGTTTTGTAAATAAAGCGTTCATTTCACCTAATACTTACCGAAAACTTCATAAAACTGTAAATTAAAAATTCCCATTTTATTTTAATGATAAGTACAGTAGACTGTTGAAGTTTGCTTGTCCATGGATAACCTTTAATCAAATTTGACAAACTTACTTACTTCATCCTAAGCTATTAACATTTCTCTAAAAAAAACACACCTCATTATCTTCCCTAACGCATCGAACCTAAGTACTCATTTAACTTAATGTTATTTAAATCTATATATATAAAATCCAATGTATGTTTGTTTGTATGTTGGTTTGTTTGTTTGCATGTTTGTTTGTCCTTTATGGACTCCGAAACCGCTTGACAGATTGTAATGAAACTTTCATGCATTATTAAGCATTATTCAATGATGGTTTTTGTAAAGTTTGGTGCAGATCCGTCAAAAGGGCTCCGCCCCAGTGGCTCTGGAGTTTCCCATGTTAACCTTATGAGTATTCATATTTTAACGGAATTAAAGAATCTTAATAGCTGGTTCAACCATTCAACTAAACAGTTTGATTCTGTGATGTTCAATAGCATTAAAAAGTTAATAGGTTTACCAACAGGGTGCAGCACTATTATTTTTTTTCAATTTATTCGACAACAGCTAATTTGCAACCAAAAGGTGAGTGAGCGTAGCAAACGAACTTCAACCTGGAGGCGAGTTAGCGTAGCGAATGAGTTGCAACCTAAAGGTGAGTGAGCGTAGCGAACGAACTTCAACCAGGACGTGATTGAGCCATGCAAACGAGCTTATCTTGAAAATGAATGAGCATTTGACATAAAACCACATTAGGACAGAACAACATCCTGTCGGGCCAGCTAGTAGGGAATAAATCAGACAAGGTTAAGGAATTTTTGTTGTGCAAATCCAATCATGCAAATGGAAATTCACTTAGTCTACAGATTTGCTGCCGTGGGGTATTTGAAATTTTGTTTTTAAGATGGTCCAAATCCTGGTTATGCTGGTATATAAAATGGCATCTGTGTCCAGAATCGATCTGGTTTGAATCAAAGCAGCGACCTTAAATTTGCCAACATACACTGATTGTATTGTGTTGAAAATTGCAGCCATGTGCTTTAGATACCTGTATACTGTATTGTAAAGTTTTGTGTTAGGGTATGTTCATTTCAAAGTTAAAGTTGCTAATCAAGCACACTACATATAGACTTTCGCCAACAAAAATTTGAAATTAATTATAAAAAAATGTACAAAGATAAAATAAACACTTACTATTCATGTTTATTTTCACAATTCTTCTGACAGCATTACTGATTACACAACTTATTTTCAACAAGTGTTCGCAGTTATGAGATTAGTGGACTTGTAAACAAATAGCCCAGCAGTGTTTTGATTGTTTATTGTTTACGAGGTGATTTAGTTGTCACCAAACACGGCTAACTATTACCGCCCAAAGCAAGCCCACATTTGGCTCAAATCGTTCTTGATTACCGACAAAATCTGCAGACTAATGACAGCCCGCAGAAAATTTGAGATAATAAACACTGACAGCTTCGCTGTAAACATTTCCCCCACCCTGTCGCTTCCAATAGCATCAGTGGTTTACATTCCAACGCACATTACTTCACATGGGAAATATTGTTGTAAGTCTTGCCAGTACACCAATCGTTTGGTTTTGTGTATTAACAAAATATTTCAAATCCAAAGGTTACAAAATTATGGTGCAAATTTTTAGGCTTTTAACAGAAGGAGTTCTAAAAAAAACAGCTCTTTTTGCCTGAGGGGCCGAAGATATTTTTGTGAATGATATTTATGTTTTTGAGCTATGTATATCTACATTTTCAACAGTAGAGGTTTAGAACAAAAGGAGGGGGTCTCCCCCCCCAAAAAAAAATTGTGTTTGTAAGCAGTTTGCTGTTTTTAAAGCTATTATTTTTAACATCTAGAACTGTATTCAAAAACCTCCGTAATGTTTTAGGACAAAATATGTTTAAATTTATTTTCCAGGGTCAAATGGGGGGAGTCCTTTAGCTCCTGTTGCCCCCCCCCCCTAGAACCACTACTGATCATCACCACATGTCACAGTGTAGCCACTTAGACTTAAGACGATGATCCTGTTGTAAAATTATTTACAATATGGGAAGTACAAATCGTAACGTTAAAAAGCTGAATTAAAAAAAACCCCAAAATGTCAAGAGCTTATAGGAGTTAAATATTCAAGTTCTACAAAATGTCAATAAATGAAATAAAAATATATTTGACAAACTATTTTTAAGAGGATCTGCTCGTAAACATTTAACGATGACAAAGGAAAATTCGTAAGGAAGAACTATGAAGGACCCGTTACAACCAAATAAGTTTGTGTAGGCTTACAAAAATTCTAACAAAGAAAAAATTTGGAAACTTAGGAGCTTAAACATGTCTTCAGTTGGTAACGAACCTGTGGACGAGGGGGTTAAATGCCATAGCGGGTCCACCGTGGCTCTCACAGCAAGCAGCTATCTGAAACAAACAACAACTTTATAATAACAAATATTGTAGTATTTTACCATTCATTTAAACAAAATGGCTAACCGGCATGATCTGTGGGAACAGGGTTTTATTGGGTAAAAAGTTGTTTTCTAAATGTTCACCCTCATAAAATTGCAGACTCAACAAACAAATAACTTAGTAAGTTCTTGTACAATAAATGGTTATGGACAAATTTAAAAATCTGTAAATTTAAAATTCCTGTTTGGCTTATTAACACAAATAAACTGTTATCTACTTACTTCTTTCTACACTATTATAATTTCACACAAAAATACAACTAATTACCTTCCCTGTAGCAGCAAACCTAAGTACTCGTTTAACCTAATCTTTTAAACAGGGAATGAAACTGACAAATTACCGATGTTCCAGTGAGATCTAAACAACCCTCATAATAATAATCATTTATTACCGACAGCGCCTCAAAGCCCAACAACTTTATACTGTTTTATAATTAAATCTCTGTAATGTTTGACGCCTATTCTGTACTCTATGTTCAAGAATAAAGGATTCTGATTCTGATTCTGATTCTAAGTAACAATCCTATCTGAATATAGGAAAATATATGCTTAGCCTGCAGGTTCGCTAAGGCAAGAGTGTTTAGTAATTATAACATTTTAAACATTTTGTTATCAAACTTTGTTTTATCAAGTTATGTTTAGCAGCATGTTTTGGGGAGGTTCAACAACAAAAATCTTAGGAGACATATTTTGTTATATATCAGGTAAAAGAATAGGTTCTCAATGGTTAACTCTCTCTGGGAACTCATAATTATAATTCAATAATGTTTTGACATATTAAAGGTCTTTGAGGTGTATATACGAACATAACAATATAATATATTTGAAAAACGGTTACATTTTAAATATAAAACTAGCATTAAGCCAGACTATTGTAGACAATCATCTCTAGTGTAAGTATACTTTTATCCACCTCTAAAAATACCTTGTATACTAAATACAACTGTAACCAACTCAATCGAGAACAAATAGACCAGGTAGTTTTCACAAGGCCGAGAAATTAAGTAAACTGATTTGATAGGAAGGGGAAGTGCTAATTTTGCAACAGCAAAACAATGAGAGAAAATTCAGCATGAATCATGGTCTGAAAATATCAGCTGGTTAATATTCATAGATGCAGACTGACTGAGAAACACCTTTGTGTGCTAAATACAGAGAGTAATGGCGGAACAGCAATTGACAAAACAGATAAACGAGCGAAATAAATCGCCAAAATTTGTTTCCACAACTTGGTAATTTGCGAACTTTGGTACACTCAAGGAAGGACCATGAAATAAATCTCAAACTGAATTATTTTATACTCCAAGATTCAGCTTAAAGTCTCACACTAAAATTATAGAAAAATGTATAGGCCTAAATCTCTTTCAACTTAGGTGTTTGTTGGTTTTAGAGAGAACTATCAAGAAAAATATAAGAACTAATCTCAAGAGTCCACATGTTCAAAAAATAATTGTTGCATTACATCTTGAATAAAATCGTCCAAAGTTAATATTATTAGTGAGGTTCTTATTTTCTGTTGGCATAATTTTTGTTACAGATTATTGAAAATAACACTATAAAACAAAGACATTAAGAATTCACAATTTTGTTAGTACTGTATTTTTATCTACGACCGTTTTTTAAGGTAGCCGTTTCAGTTCAATTCTTAGAATTGAAAAGTGTTCCATAACAGCATTGTTTACTTTCATAACAGCATAGTTTTACGTTTTACTCATAAAAACACGAGTAACGGACCAATGAGAATCAAGGGTTGAGGGAGAAGAATTAAAATTGTAATGATATAAACTTCAACTAATCAGCTGTTCAGGCCAATTTAATTGTTGAGTGGTTAATTAGTGTTTGGTACAAGCTTTGACTATTAATACAACAACAACGTACAAGGTTCCGTTGCTTAAATTAATGTCATTGACAATGAAAGGTTATAAACGAAAACATAACCTCTCTTAGAAGTTATGAGTAGTGATTTTTAGTAGTTTAAAACACTGTTGTAGGTAAAGTAGTGTACACTACTTGCGTAAATAGTGTTAACGACACTCGTAGAAATTTTAAGACACTCGCCAAGGCTCGTACCTTAAATTTTCTACTCGTGTCGTTAAAACTAAATCTACACGTAAACTACTATAGCATAGTCTCTGTGATAAGCTTAAGTTGCTTTTCATAAGAAGTCTATAAGCTTTGAAATATTCTAATCAAAATAGAGTGTACATAAAAACTTTAATTTAGTGAACAACAATGTTAAAATCAACACAATTAAAGAACTTTTTCTAATCTAAAATAAAAAGTAAAGAAAAAAACTATTCATAAGGTTTTCACCAAGTTCAACCACGATTCATGACATTTATTTAATGTAATATTTACCAATTTCCAAGCCACCTGGGCAGAGTAGGTAATACTTGAGCAATGAGCAATTTATTACATTCTTACCAAATTTAAACCTTATGATAGCTTTTTTTATATTTTTTGCATTGTTAAAAATTGAAATATGACTGAAAATATAACACCAGACCACAAAGATAACTTACACGTTAACAAATTTCAAATCCTACGCTACCATTGTTGTTATTGTTAAATATATTGTAAACAACAGGGCTTAGTCACTATGTTGCTTAGTGTAGTACATAACCTTGCAAATCTATATCTGACACAAAGTGATTCATGATGACAAATGTCTGAAGATAACAATCTCATCACCTAACTAAGCCATCAATCAGCATAGTAATAGTGTAATGTAGAATATTTCACAGTGAATTAAGACATGGTGGGCAATCAATTATATTATTTATTAAAGTTAGTGTAGAATGAGATGGTAACAGATTTTATTGATAGATTATTTTTTCACCTTCCTCAATCGTAACCACCGTATTATTACTCCTTCCTTAAGAGTAACTAGTATCTTGATTATTTTTACTCCTTCATCGAGAGTATCTAGTATCTAGATTATTTTTACTCCTTCCTCGAGAGTAACTAGTATCTAGATTATTTTTACTCCTTCATCGAGAGTATCTAGTATCTAGATTATTTTTACTCCTTCATCGAGAGTATCTAGTATCTAGATTATTTTTACTCCTTCCTCGAGAGTAACTAGTATCTAGATTATTTTTACTCCTTCCTTAAGAGTACTTAACTAGTATCTCGATTGTTTTTCACCTTCCTCAATAGTAACTACCATCATTGACTATATATATATATATATAGTCAATGCTACCATATTATCACTCCTTCGAGAGTAACTAGTATCTAGATTATTTTTACTCGTTCCTCGAGAGAAACTAGTATCTAGATTATTTTTACTCCTCCCTCGAGAGTAACTAGTATCTTCATTACTTTTCTTTTACTCCTTCCTCGAGAGTAACTAGTATCTGGATTATTTTTACTCCTCCCTCGAGAGTAACTAGTACCTTTATTACTTTTACTCCTTCCTCGAGAGTAACTAGTATCTGGATTGTTTTTACTCCTTCCTCGAGAGTAACTAGTATCTGGATTGTTTTTACTCCTTCCTCGAGAGTAAATAGTATCTGGATTGTTTTTACTTCTTCCTCGAGAGTAACTAGTATCTGGATTGTTTTTACTCCTTCCTCGAGAGTAACTAGTATCTGGATTGTTTTTACTCCTTCCTCGAGAGTAACTAGTATCTAGATTATTTTTACTTATTCATCTAGAGTAACTAATTTAGATTATCTCTTTTCCACCTTCACGAGAGAATCTACTCTCCAGACTATTTTCCACTTCCTCAAGAGTGTCTAATTTAGATTATTTCCCCTTATTTCTGAGAGTTCCTATTGTCTGGTTTATTATTCCAGCGTCCTCAGGAATTGCTACTTTACATGTTTTCCACCTCGCTCAAAAGTCAAAATTTCTTAAATATATCCATGAAATGTTCATAGTGAGTACTTTTATTGATAGTATTCACTTTGCACCAATGATCCATATATTAACACACCTTCTCCACCTCCAACAGTGGGGTGAGAGGGAGAGAGGGGGCAGGATAAGACAGGAATGTGCCGCCAAGGCCGTCACTGATAGTGGGTCTATTAATAGAACAGCTGATACTCTGCTTTCACTCAGGCGTCCTGGCCTAGGCTAGTACAAAGTAGTCAGGGCGTTGTGACATAAAAGAGTACTGGGTTCTGTTATGCCAATTCGTCACCATCAGTCTTAGAAAACCCTAACCTTTAACCACAAGTAGTGGATTAATAATTTGAACATTTGATAAATGTAGGTTAATTTTTCAACCATGTTGAGGCAAAGATTATTAAATATTCTTTGGACAAATAAACATTATTGTCACTAAGTTTTAGTGACGCTCAATAGGAATTCCGTGGTTGCCGTTTGATGAAGCAATCGCTAAAAAAGGCATCTTTACTCTACATTTAAAAACACCACTAACACATTATTCCATAATTTTAGGGGAAAACTAGTTTGACATGTGGAGTAGAAAGGTAATTACAAGGCAAATTACTTAATAATGCATCATTGACCAAAACGTCACGAATTGTTACCTATCATAAAATTGTCCAAGAGACTATTAATGATACTGAAACTTATGATCGATGAGTTTTATTTGACAAATAAACTCTAATAAAACACTTCCTTTGAAGTAAATGCAACTTATTATAACAAGTTCATGAGGTAGGGATGTGTGTGAAGAAGTAGAGTGTACGACGTCAAAAAGTATCTACGTTGTAAGTTGTTCAGTTCGTACTCTAATACAAACAAACAAATCTTTGTAAAATGGAGATATGACACGTTCTTGGAAAAATGATGAAGTAAAACCACTAGCAATGACGCTTCTTTTGATGGGGCACGTACCTCCTTCCGTCGGAGTTCTTTGAAGCCGATTCGTCCAAGCGGTGCTGAACACCCCAAAGAAACAATTAACAATGATGCTAGATGACATGTTGGATTTCTGAATATAAGTACGTGAAAATCTTTGAAATCTGTGGATATTTGCTA